TTCTTATCAATTTCCTTATTTAATATATTTTGGATTCGACTTACTAAACAATTATTAGTTGGATAGCTGGGCGGCCATATTTGTTTAGGTGACGATTTACATTTAAATTTGTGATGAATATTAGAACCGTCATTTTACCCAATCACTTTGTTTTGGCTTCAACCGGGCATGGGCGCGTATCTAACCCAACTAGACAGCTATTCTTCAATTCAAACCTTAGTTTGGATCTTACAGTTATATCCACGCACTTCTAGTCACTCTGCTAAGTGTAGATACAAATAGAATTCAACACTTGTGGACAGCAAACTGTCAACGACACAGACTGACTTTCTACTTTAAATCAATGACAGTACAAACATCGACATCAATTGACATTAAGCCTATAGTACTACTTCTGTGGTATCATTAATATCAAGGGAGACTGGACGTTGTTTATCTGAGGAACTCAACCACTTGTCAACACAATGTATTTTAACACTGTTTGATATCACTTTGAAATGTTACAGTTATTTTATTATTGTCATTGTTAATTGCCTAATCTACAAGACTTCGTGAGGTGGAGTTAAACTACAGAAGTGTTTATGGTTATTTTGTACTTGACAGATACAACGAAGACCTGGTGGAAGAAGACATGTGATGGTAGAAGGAGAATTAAAGATAGTTATAATACGAAGCTTTTAAGGTATAGATGAACAAATCCGTCGTCATCTGTCACAGACTGTATTAAAAACATAAAACAAATTGCTACAATTGTAAAAACCTGAAATATTATGCTTAATTATTTCGTTGCCACCTACTGGCTTGAAGAGGCTAGCAGCAATCGGCTAGGCAGAGTGCTGCGATTATTTGAGCTTCAGCCATAGATCATCACACTTACAAATCTAAGAAATCTAAATAGGACCAATGTCCTGAGACTGTAAGGGGTTTAACATGTCTCTTTCGAGCACAGAAAGTAGACACCACATAATTGACTACTGGGTTCTCAGACGGGTACATGAGTTCGGTGCCTATTTACGTCTGATCGTTTTTACCCAATCTGTATAAAATGCAGGGGATAATAATAAGACGTCGTATCCAGTTGAAACCTAAATTGTGATTGTATGTGTAGGTGCAATACGTTTTTCTAGTGTTGCAATAAGCGGCATAAACGTAGACGATTTTAACGAAAACTTGACTGGAGTGATGGAATACATGACTACTTTATATGAAATTAACTAGGAAATGTTATTAGACATCATAAATATAACATAAAATTATGTAATGCGGTAGTGAAACGTGCTGCGTTACATTTACTTCTATGTATTAAGGATTTGAGGTAGACACTTGTCCGATACGATACAGATCACCGGGAAATTCGCATAGAAATCAATTCTTCGGCGGGAATGGCGTTGCTCACAGATTCTTTATAAGTCTAAAATGACTAGAGTCGAATTCGTCGTATTTCCTAGACGTACGATTTAGACGAAATTCAAGATTCTAGGGAGTTTATACTTCAAATTCACTGTCAATTTCTGGTGTTCTTATTTCCTCTCCGACCGTAGAAATTGGCAATCGGAAGTTAGGAAGACATTGGTCGAGTAATAAAAAGTGTAGGGGATAGTTTGTGGCAAATAATAGCGTAAAGATATATTCATAGTCGTTAGCTGATCTTGTCTCGCTTATATGATTGGATAGTTATTAGCGTCACCTTGTGGCTGTAGTAACATGTGGATGTTATATTGACAGACTCATTACACAGGAGCATTTGCATGCTGCTATCGCTTGGTAACGAACCATGATAGCTAATTACACTCACAGCCGATCAGTTACTTTGATCGATTGAGGGGGGTATTCATGTCTGGATACTTATCGATATTGGGATAAAGCAGCAAATGTTCATAATAATCAACAAACTCATGAGACAACGGTAGAAATGAAAAAATAAGTACAGAGTGCATTTATGAAGGTTATAACGGGTTGCGTTATTCAAAGTCTTGCTCACTAGTGTTCATCACTGACATAGATGACCTATGCCGAATGATTTGGAGATCTACATAATTTGGATAGGAGTGACGTCACCTACCATCTTACGTCGAAATAATACCCCCCTGTTAGTACCGGACTTAAACTATCCCTCCGTCGTGTCAAGGTACCATGGTTGCTTTGACGACTGTGTAACTAAACCGTGACGTTATGACAGAAATAAACTAGTAAGATCATGTACAAGAGCAAAGTGTGACCGCTGCAGTGTGAGCCAGCCTATGGATTGTACCTGGCTGATGTGTGTTGTTTGTCCCTGATATCCAAGACAATATTTAGAAAGGTAAACTTCAGTCTTCAGCAATAAGGATAGTAGGTTGGTGGACCTGTGATAATCCTGACGGCTCGCCTTCCAGTGGTGGTCTAGCTTCTCCTTTAAAAAGGTTCACTGAATGGGCTGGTACCACTTATTCGGGCAAGGCGTTCCAATCTTTGAGAAAGGCAGAACCCATCTTAAGTTTATTAGATCGTGGTTTGTAAACTTTCTTCCTGTCACCTCAGAGATAAGTTGTGCTGCATGGAGCAAAAATATTAAAAATCCTTTGGCTGCAGCTGCGTTGCAATGCGTAATTATTTTCAAGTCGCGACTTGTTATTATTCCTAAGTCTTCATGTTCTTTAATGAATGGAAGAGATAAACCATCAATAGTATACTAGTATCTACTACCGTGCTCACTCTTCCTAGAATTTCAGAGAGATCAAGAACAAAGATTGGTGCAGAATAATATGAACTCGTTTCGTTAGGTTCTCATCAGCTGCTTACAACCTATAATATTTTAAAATCAACTTTATTACAGATATTAACATACTTATACATACGAGGGTGATTAAACATTAATATATGTATCATGATGTAGAGAAGATTTTATTAGAGTTGATATAATCATAAAAATTTTGTTTCGGATAGATAAAGTTTAGGAGCGGAAATCCCAGAACATTGAATTAGTGACTAGAACTTATGAAGTTAACAAATATTAGATGATTATGTTTTGAAGCGACTGAAAACACATTAATGATAATAAAGAATGAATTGAAATCAGTCAGCTATGAACTGAAGAAATTTGACAATGATGTGATTAAACCCCAGAAAGAGTTGATATAATAAATGACGTAATAGATAAAAAGGAGCGTTATGTTACCAGGGCAAAGAAAGATTTATTACTGCCACTTTTTGGATACATAGATTTGGTTCAAAACGTCTGATTGTTATCGCTTTGGCAAATTTCACAAGATTGGAGTTTGACTGTTTGTTAATCATTTTGAAAGATTTCAGTATATCGACTTCATATCCTGTGTCAAGGAGATGTCATCAGCGTTGAATTTATGTAGAAAAAAAATATGTTTCTAATTCGCTGTGGTTTCTTTGGGTTTCTTGTCCTCACGTTTTCCATATTTCTCAATAAATTTCAGTGGGTGTCCGTTATCTTTTAAACATATGTGCAGAATTATGGTCTACTATGATATTAGTACTGCGCTAGTAATATGCCTAATCCTAAGATTGTAGACTTTTCATGATATAACTGCCTAGTCTATAAGATCTTACGTAGAAGTCATACCATCTTCTACACCAACTCATCATATCGTAAGAATCACTAATACATGGTGCAGAACAAGCTTAGGTTAGTGATGGAACAATATATTTAATATGAATAAAAGACACAAGTTAACATTCAACAAGGACCACGCCTGCAAGGCATAGCCATGCCATTTGATCAACTCCAATTGAATCAACTCCTTGTTCCCGACTTTTCAATCGTTAGGTATTTCTCCGCGTTAAATATTGAATATCTGTTCTCCGAGTAGTTTCGTGTTCAGCTTTAAGGACTTTGTAGTTATGGTTCAATGCCCCTACATATGTTAACATTCGTTACTTCCTCTTTTAGTGTGTCGGAAGTATATATTTCTTCTGTTCTGTGAATCAGCGTTTCAACAAGTGCACTTTAATAACTGATTGGACAAAAGCTATCGAATTTGAAAAAATTCCAATCCATGTGTCTTTCTTATAAACTGAACGTTGAACTGCGCTATCCTTCCTTCGTTTTATTGTGACATCGAGAAAATAGAACTTGTTTTCATTTTCATGTTCCACAGTAAACTGCATATTTGGATGGGCTTCGTTGGAATATTTTAGCAGATTTGTTGCATGTTGTTGATTATTACACACGATGAAGGTGTCACAAAAATACCTGGAATAATACATCATTTCATCAACCGCTCATTTGAGCTTGGTTGTTTCGAAATTAGCCAAGAAAACGTCTGCTAGGACAGGACCTAACGGACTTTCCATTGCTACACCACTAGAAGATACGGTTAGAAGTAGTATGCTTTTAAGGTCAGTATAACAACATGACGAGATTGAATAGACTTTTAGGTACGTAGTGAACAGGGCTCGAAGCGATCGTACCCAGTTCAAATCTTTCGGACAAGGTTTTTGAGAACAGGAGGCAAAATAGTCTCTCACAGAGATACTGACAGTTAATGTCTCAAAATCTTCAAATTCGTGATCGCATTTAGACTGAGTTTGTGCAATCATGTGCTCCTCTGAGAATGCAGCCTATTCTTTCATCTAAGTGGCTTTGGTCCGCAGCATTTAATACTGATCATATGAGAATGACAGATACTCCCGGAATAATTTTAAGGCACGTTAAATCCCTTCAGTTTAGGATAAACAAAACAGGGGACATGCTACGAAATATCAGATGCCAAAAAACAAACAGTCGATAACTTCTGCTCAGAAAAAGTTCGAAATCCAGTCTTGTTATATCGAACAGAAAATCACCTAAGGTCTTCCATACCTGCTTTCATTCAGTCTTGAGAAATTAAATGTCATTGGAGTTGGTTTACGAGCACTGTAGAGAAATATCTAACGTTGCCTCATTGAAACCGTTCAATATGTGAGCGCGTATCGTGTAAATATACGTTACCACAATGTTAAAACTACTTGGTCGGTACATTTGATATGGACTGCCAAATTGAATGTAGATGACATCGCACAAGTTAGTCGTTTGCATTTCAATAATTTTGTTGTTTGACAGCTATCTTATTGGTGATTTAATTACATATATAAGTATCACGTAATAACATCCAGATTGTCATTTATTTTTATTTCAAATTTACTGCGAAATATCAAAAACACATGAATTTTTTCAGATCGCTTAATGACTAGGGATGGTATAATGAGAAGAAGATTGTCAGAACTGTGTAGTGGCTGTTAAGGTGGATAGTGATACTCGCCTTCAGGTCTGCATATCTCACATGAGTACTTTGTTTCTACACTTTCAGTAAAACGAAAACCTCGAAGTGAGACTACAGCACGGATGTTACCGTTATTCTTTGCGTCCAGATCCACTAGTGGGTAGTGTACATTAAGTATGTTTTCCTATTTTATAAGTAAGCATTTGGATGCTTTGCTCGATCTCATATATATTTGTTTTAGCAGCATCGCTCACTGACACCCAAACATAAACAATATATGTCTATATCGTACTACCTTTTGTATATGTATTCTGTAGTGATGGTGCGACCTAACATTTATCACTGACCAAACACACACAAGAGCGTCCCAAAAAGGAGTAAAATAAGATCTTACAAAAAGCATTTACTTTGTGACTGACTCGAGGAAAACTAAAAAAGTTAATGTATCTGCATAATGCTGCCGATCTCAAATTATGTCTATTTTATCAGTCACTAGCCCCTTTCTTCCAAAAGCCATGTTTTGCAATCGGAAAAAACGGGGCAGACTATTGTCCGGTATGATTGTTTTTTAAGACTGGTAGATATATCACCTGCCCTATGTGTGACATGTTAGTGAAAAACACCGCTTGAGGTTGCCAGTCCTGATGACAGTTTTTCAATAAGCTTCGACTCAACTTATAATATTTAAGCACAGCGCCTTCGGAAGGTTTACGTACTTTGGCATTATTTTAGTGAAGAACTGAGATGAAGTATCCCGGTTGATCTAGTCAAATGAAGCTTTAGAACTGGGATATAAGTTGTCGGACATCGGTAAGTATGAGTATGTTCTGAAACTGATGAAAGGTAAATATCCAATAGATAGGATCGATTCCAGTTCTGGAACCATCCTAGTTTTTCTGTTTGCTCTCCACACCCTTCAGCGTTAGATTATTAGTAAGCTCTGTGAGGTCACTGAATTTCATCTGAGTGGGTTTTACGTTTTCTAGTGTATTGCTTAAACCCTGCTAGATTATGACCTCGCTGCCACCGTACCGATTTACAGTTGGCTGTGAATCCTTTCTAAGTAATACAGCTGAATCCCGAAATTTACCACAGTGTGTTCAGCATTTGACTACAGAATACTAGGTTAAAGTGCTAATAATCTGACAGCTCATAATATCTTTTATATATTTCTGACTAATCACTGGCTATATAATCAAAAAAAAGTTTAAGACCTGTCAATAAGCAATAAAAGCTAACGTATACGTAAATGTGACGGTGAGTGTCAATATATAGTTAAAGATAAGGATTTAGTTTATCTGCTGCACCACCACTGATTTCGCCCCATATCACCTAGGATTTACAATCACAAACTACGGTAATTTCACGGACCCTAACCATACAGCCAACACCTTCCTAAACATCTAACCTCAAATAACTCACTCCGTGTAGTCGAACTAGGTGTTGATACTTACTATTCTTGAAGAGGCTTATTGCAGCTAAGGAGTAGACCCCAAGAATGTTTGTATGAGCACTCGAGGCGTACAGAAAACTGCTGTTTGTCAGGATTGTGTTATGTACATGCTGAGCTTGTAAAGGATTCTCTAAATAAGTCAACCCCTTAAAAATAAGATTTTAAGCATTTGATGGGATCACATCTGTGATAAAATTATACAAATTGTTGAGCGTGAATAGCACTAACCAGCGCCATTGAATCAGTCCAAATATTACAATTCTAAAATGTTCGTAGTATATCGGTCCTATTGAACAAATGGCGTATGAACCAATCGTTGGTCACCGGCTACCATGGGATTCCATCTCCTTACGATGCTCCACTGCCTTGTGGGTTAGACCTTTAGGTCAAAGGTTCGGGGTGTGGCCCCCTAAGTAAACCACCTGCTTCGGTTTGGGCACTCGGGCAGTATCACAGCCCACACACAAATGATGAACTCTTTATGTCTATGGAAATTACTTTTCTCGCTTCAAAAAACAATCAATTGATTCAAATTATTATCATTACAATTATTGTCATTATTAATACTATTATTATTATTACCATTACTGTCATTATTATTATTATTATTTTCCACATTATTCACCCTCTTTTATACTTATACAGCGGCTCGTCTTTGGTGGAAATTCGACTGTATCTAAACGTTCTCGAGTCACTGTCCGGTTGAAAATTGTATGTTACCACCGAATACGAGAACTGAAGCAGTTTTTCTGAAACCACGTGCACCATTCAAACTGGCTGCCTTCAACGTTCGCACATTTATGCAGGTCGGACAACAGATAGGGCTGGCTATGTCTTTGGAAAGTCTTAATATTGATGTTTGTTGTCTATCCGAGACCCGTATTCAAGACTCTGGCGAAGTACTACAAATTCGATCTCCATCTGTCGCTTCGAAAAGCTTGTTTTACGTGCGCTTATCCGGGGACCCTGTGGCATCTTCGTCTGGTCTTGCTGGCGTTGGTGTCGCACTAAGCGCTAGAGCTGAGGCAGCACTAGTCGATTGGATCCCCATTAACAGTCGGTTATGTGCTGTTAGATTAGAAAGTTCCATCAAAGTGAGAAGAAATCGGCGTGAGAAACGATGTCTTTTCGTCATCTCCGCCTATGCCCCGACAGATTGCAGCCCGGATGCAATCAAGGATGAGTTTTACCACCAGTTATCTGTTCTTCTCCAGAAAGTGCGTTCGACAGATATTGTAGTACTAGCCGGAGACTTGAATGCTCAGGTCGGGCGTCTAGGCACAGAAGAGAGTCGTTTAGGTGGCCGATGGGGACTCGTTGGTCGCAGGTCAGATAACGGGGACCGTCTACTGCAACTTTGCACAGACCACAACCTGTTTCTGGCTAGCACTAACTTTCGGCACAGTCATCGCCGATGTGCCACCTGGCGTCCTCCCTCTGCATCTCAAGCCTGGACTCAGATTGATCACATCGCGATCAGCTACCGCTGGCGTGGTTGTGTACAAGACTGCCGCTCCTTTTGGAGTACCTATCTGGACTCTGACCATGCCTTGGTCTGCGCCAATCTTGCCTTACTTTTCAGTGGACAACGAAGTGACCGCCATCAACGGATTGATGTTAGCAAGCTGGTTGCAACTTCTGTTGCAAGTAAGTATCGAACCGAGCTAGCCTCTAGGCTAGCTACCACTCCACCGAAAAGTATAGATGAGCATTGGTTGCAATTGCATGACGCCATGAAAATGGCGGGAACAGTCAGTTGTGGGTTTGCGAAACGTCCCGCTTTTAAGCACTGGGTTTCTTCTGGTTCCTTACAACTCATTGAAGCCCGTCGGTCTACTCCGGGTGACCGTGAGTTTGACCATAAACGAAGGATGTTACGTAAGGAAATTGGGCAAAGCTTGCGTAAGGACCGAGAAGCCTGGTGGTCGATGCGTGCTAATGAGCTGGAAGCAGCAGCTGCATCTGGTAACTACCGGAAGCTCTTCCAGCTCATCCGAGCCACTGGCAGCAAGAAGTCTGGTGTGAGTGAAACAATCTGCGAGGATGATGGGATGCCAATCACTAACATCCATCGACGTCTTGGACGATGGGCAGAATTTTTCGAAGGGCAGTTCAACTGGCCTGCTGCTCCGGCAACATCGGTCAGACTGTCCTGCCCTCCATGGCCGGTGACGACTGATCCACCAAACGAGGAGGAAGTCCGCAAGGAACTCCAACTCTTGAAGCGTTACAAATCACCTGGCCCAGATGACTTACCTCCGGCTCTTTTTAAAGATGGTGGTGACTTTTTGACTAAGGAATTGACGACGTTGTTTACAAAGGTTTGGGAACTAGAGAGTGTACCAACGTCATGGAATGAGTCGATAGTTGTCCCTATCTTTAAAAAGGGTTCACGTCGTTCCTGTAACAACTATCGGGGGATAAGTCTACTTCCGATTGCGTCCAAGCTATTGGCTTCCGTCATACTTCGTAGGTTGTTCAAAACCCGAGAAAGATTGACTCGCGAGGAGCAGGCTGGGTTTCGTTCTGGTCGAGGATGTATTGATCATATCTTCACCCTCCGCCAAATGTTAGAACACCGCCATACTTATCAAAGGCCAACAATCGTAGTGTTTCTTGACATCAGGGCTGCCTTCGATTCGTTGGACAGGACTGTTCTCTGGGATTGTCTATTGAAGAAGGGTGTGCCTGAGAAGTTTATTAACATCCTGAAAGCCCTGTATAAAAACACCTCAGGCAGAGTGAGGGCATACAACCACCTCTCTCCATTGTTCCATTCGAGCAGTGGGGTTAGGCAGGGTTGCCCAATCTCACCATTCCTCTTCAACTTTGCCATCGATGACATTCTGGAAACAGCTCTGATGAATGTAAGTAATGGTGGTGTGGATCTGTTGCCTGGAGAAAGACTTCTCGACCTTGAGTATGCGGACGATATTGTCTTACTGTGCGATAATGCCCAAGGCATGCAATCCGCACTTAATCAGTTGGCAATCAGTGTCCGTAGGTATGGTATGTGCTTTGCACCTTCGAAGTGCAAAGTACTTCTACAAGACTGGCAGGATTCTAATCCTGTACTCACCCTGGATGGTGAGCAGATAGACGTAGTTGAGAAGTTCGTGTATCTGGGTAGCTGCATAAGTGCTGGTGGGGGTGTGAGTGATGAGATCAATGCACGAATAGTGAAAGCCAGAGCGGCTTATGCCAATCTGGGCCACCTTTGGCGCCTTCGTGATGTTAGTCTGGCTGTAAAAGGTCGGATCTACAACGCGTCGGTGAGAGCAGTTTTGCTCTATGCTTGTGAAACCTGGCCTCTCCGAGTTGAGGACGTTAGACGACTCTCTGTGTTCGATCATCGCTGTCTCCGAAGGATTGCTGACATTCAGTGGCAACACCATGTCAGTAATGCAGAGGTTCGGCATCGTGTGTTCGGGCACAGAGATGATAACTCAATTGGTGTCACCATCTTGAAACACCGACTTCGGTGGCTTGGACATGTTCTCCGAATGTCGTCCCAGAGAATTCCACGTCGTGCATTATTTGCCGACTCTGGGACTGGTTGGAAGAAGCGGAGAGGTGGTCAGTGCATGACATGGTGTCGTGGTATGAAAGAAAGCTGCAAAGGACTGGCTTGTGTTGGTCCTTCACGACTCCCTGGTTGGGGTCTGAGAGATGGTGCTACACAGTGGCTAGAGACGTTATCAGATATGGCTCAGAATAGAAGCCAGTGGCGATCCTGCTGTAACCTTCTTTTACTTTCTTCATAAAAAGTGGTTGTGTCTCCTTACCTGAAAGATTTCTTCTGATTGTACCTTTCGTTCCCTCGTTACTACCACACTACCTTACCCCAATCTCTTCGTTATTGTTCTCTTTTTCTTTTGCGCTCCTTAGTTTTTTTTTCTATTTCTCTTCGAATTCTTATTGTTTTGTGTGGCGCATATATATTGGCGCTCTCTTGTAACAATATTCATGTGTTCAAATAAATAAATAAATAAGTGGTAATAGAAACGTTTGGCTATCGAAGATACGATTCAAGAAAACATAAACCAGCGGAACAAAAGGTTATGGGTAATTCAGAAGCTTAGTTTTTAGGGGTAGACAAAGAATGGCTGCACCTACGCCATCGCAAACGATTTTGAGCTATGTTATTCAAAGTTCCTAACCAGTGGTTACGATAATCACTTGTCCTAATAAAGTAGTTTACACCTATTAACATGGTCGTCACTACTGTTTTCACTAGTCAGAAATAGATTTTTGTTTCACAATTCTCACCTTTTTATGATAATAACTGTCATTTTGTCCTGCTAATGTTTTACATTTGATCGTTAAATAATAATTTAATCATAGTCAGAATTATTTCATCCAGCGCTACTGTGGTACACAACTCCCAACCTATGTATAAAAAACATTTTAATACCACCATGATTAACATAAGTTCGTAACCTTCTGGTCTCTCAAACAAAAATTAACCATACTTAGATGAGCTAACAGTTTCTAATATCGAAACACTACTCATCTGAACATTTTTAGCTCGTCATCTTGATTACTTTTACTAAAAATTAAAAAAAATAATTCTCTATGTAATAATTTTTAAGATGGTGGTATATTATCTGATGTCTTACCCATACAGTCAACTACCTCTCCTTTTTTTGCCATTTGCAGAGGTATGCTAGAAAGACGCGGATATCGTTCACTTCATATTAGTCGTTTACAATTGAAACGATGGTCATCTTATCTTGCTACTGCATTTGCGGTACTTGATAACTTTCAATGTGTTTATTATTAATTATCACATGTTTAGATTCTCTCATTTGTTTTTATTTCTGGTGGAATTTGGCTACTTGAAAATAATCGGATCGAGTCTGAAATTATCGGCAGGCGATATTACTACGAAGAAGGAGTTTTGTTTGTAATCATTGGGATACTATTGCTTCTTTCGCTTGTTTGTCAAGCTTTTATGATTCATCTATTGTTTGTTGCAAAAAAGCCATGGAGATTTACTGAAGTCAAGGTAAAGAGAGCAATTGCACTGGTATGGTATATGTTGACAAAAACATAATTATCTTATACAGTATTTAGTTTTTCTGTTTGCAGTGACAATTCCTCATATTTATTGTTTGTACCATGTGAAAACAATTAGAACAAAAGTACGTACATCTTATTTTTATTTACAGCTTATGCTTCATTACTCACATACATGTTAGTTGAATAATAACTACTTATTAGTAGATATCTCGCTCTAACAATATTCGTGTAATCATAATGTTCGTTTTAGCTGTTAAGATAATCTTTATATCAAATTATATTGTCACATCCAACACAAAGCGACTTTTTCACTGTTTACTAGTGGGTTAGGCGTCTGAGAAGTTAATCTCACTTATAAAAACGTTTGTTGTAGATTATTCATTCGAATTCGATTCAGCAACTAGTATTGAAGTATTACTTTAGTCTTATCATATTACACATAAAGGTAAAGTTTGAAAATAACTTTTTATGGGTCGTCAAATAATTTCTTTTGCAGTTCAATCTATCCTTTCTCCCCAGAATATTCTATTATGTATTTTGATAGTAAATCCAACTGATAATCATACTACCCAGTTTACGTTCCAAATACCGTCAAATATTTTATTGGTAAAACAACTTTCTGTTTGCATTACTTCGAGAATATACAAAAATATCTTTAATATAGATAAACTATATTTTTCTACATTTTGTTACTTATATATATTGTGAACTTTCACTATTACATCACCGTTATAACAAGATATCCTATTATTGAGGAACTCGTTAGTAACTCCATCTTATGCGAAACATACTACAGATTACCACCTAATGGCCTTTGACCGTTCAATTAGTTCGGAAATTTATATACTCTGGTGGGTCTGAAGAAACATGTTAATTACTTCTACAGTCATTTGCGAATGGATCAACATGAAAGATCTGATTGAATTATTTTACGGATATTAAACATCAGGATATAAAGTATAGTTGTTAATATCTCTTCATAACTAAAACAACATTAACGTTTTGTTCAACAGTTTTATCTGAGCGTTTTTAGAAAAAGAGTCCTTAAATAATGAGTAAAATTTCGAGATTATTCCATTTCAAGCAGTGAAATATTCACAAATGTAGTGCTTAATGTGAGATTATTATTCAACTAATTTGTTTTGACAATATTTGATTCATTTTTAGTTAATATGGTCAATTAAAGAACAAACTGAAGAGGCTTTGATTAGTTTGTACGGATTCGAACCTGATTTTACATCTGCATGGGATCATCTACAGTCTCAGGTCAGTACATATAGAATGATTGGTATTGGTTAATTTGTCTTTTTAGTGGACAACTAAGCATTAATACGACATATGTAAAAAGGTTAACCAAATACTGGATATGTACAAAATACTCACGGTACTATTTCATAGTTACTGTTTTTTCAACTTCATTCGTTCTTTTCGAACCAAATTCTTCCTTTAAGATATGCTGCAGTAGTAAAATCTGGATTTATTTTGAGCGTTTTATTATGTGGTAATAAACTGAATTTCTTGCTTACTAATGAATGTTCTCTGCATCTATATAATCTAAGTAACTTGAAACATACTGTCATCTTTTGCTTCTCTCTTGTTTTATTATACTGATAATTTTACTATGAGACAAGGAATCGTATTTCAAACCGATATTATTATTTCTATCATGAATGACTAGTTTAGAGTAACAGTTAAGTGTAAATGACATGGATTAAATTTAAGGCTAATGAAGCGTCAACAGTTAAATGATTATTTTTAAATCATGTTAGTCTGAATAAGGAGTTGAAAATTTTGTTTATTTGATTTTGTGTTGTATTTAGTAATTCGAATGTTAGTAAAACCATTCACTGGCAAATTCTATACTTCTTATTTAATACGAATTTAGGTCATATCGGTGTTCATTGTGACTTGGCATGACTATGTATTGAAATGACAAATTTTATTATTATTATTATTATTATTATTATTATTATTATTATTATTATTATTATTATTATTATTACCATATATTACTGTCCATGATAATTAAAGTTGATAAATAGATTATATTTCGAGTTTTACAATTCTTCACTTCCTTTGAAATTATCCTGAATCGTGAAAGTAATTCACATGTATATATTTATCGTATTTAGGTCATTTATGCATAACTATTGTCAAGATATATCTATGTCTAAACATACGCACATTTGTTACCTAGTAGTTGTCTCCATTGGACCCCATTAACCAAGTAATTAACTTACTGAATAAATACAAGAAACTTATACTTGAAAGTGAATTACTTATCCTCTTACTGTGCGATTTGTAAATAATACTTTTAAGGTCACTCATTTCCGTCATATTGAATTAAACGCATATTGTATGAAAACTTCATTTTTAACTTTTATGCATCAACACCAGATCATTTAAATCGTACTATTCTACTAAATACTATTGTGTTTTATCGATTTTTTTGCTTAACCAGTTGGTGATTAGCGTCCGCAAGTGTGGTATACATTTAATATTTTCAGATTTTTAATTTAGTTTGTCATGATCCCCAAGTATCTGTGATTAAATTTACTTATTGTCAAAAACTTTGTATTCTTTGCGTTAGTGCGGGATTTCAGATGAAGTTATGATGGATGATATCTACGTTCTGTTAGAAAGGATCTAAAGTGGCAGTACAATAATTCAAACTACTTTAAGCGGGATTTATCCATTTATGGAAGATCTTATTTATAGTTGTGCACCATTTGCGTAATCTCTTTATATGTGTAACAGTTCATTTTCCGAGTCTAGAACGCTTAATGACTTTGTGTCCAATTATCACTGTTATCACACTATTGATCTCATATAGTTAAAAACACTTCCTAAGTAATAATCAAGTTTTTAGTTGTGTTTGGACATAACAAAAACTTTTATTTATCCTAGGACAGCTTGTTCTGTTGTTAAAGTATTCTTTAAATATACATATTCATAGATTTACATAATTGCTTCATCTTTAAAGCGTAAAATAAATAGCAAAAGTTAAGAACCTAAACAGTTGAATTTAAAGTTTTCCATGAAATAATTAATATTTACTATGCGTTCAATGGAGAATGCTGATAGGTGGCCTATGCTCCTTCATAAGAGGTAACAGGCGCGCGAACGTCTAACCTCTAGACCACTGACCCGGCATCCAACGGTGTTAATTTCTAACTTCGACATAAATCAAACTTTCGGAGATTTTGTCCATGATGACTGGTTTTCAATGACATCCCAAAAATTTACTTTGAATACTCATAGGATTGGTTAAAGCTAGACATTGACACCATTGGATACCGGCTCAGTGGTCTAGAGGTTAAGCATTCATGAGCGAGACCGATAGGTGCTGGGTTCAAATCCTGCGGGTGGCATCGTAGATGCGTACTGCTGAGGAGTTTCATACTCGGACGAAACGGCCGTCCAGTGCTTCCAGATTTTCCATTGTGGCCTAGCTTTAATTGACTCATGAATTCAACTAACAAACATTTTTATCTATTTTAACCAGTTCAACACAAAATTATTGTCTAGCAAGAAAAATTATGTTGATATTATATATATTCAAAACTGAGAGTGGATATCTATGGTTGCGAGGTTTGTCAATGGCTTTTCTCCAGATATTGCTTACTTTGTTGGAAGTTACAAGAAAGCTGGATTATATAATAGTATTTATATTTTTTCTTACCAATTCTAAGATCATATTTAATTGCCTATGTATTAGTTAAATACATAATATTGACAAAAAACCCGTAAGATAGAGATGTACATTAGATGTCATTCGATTAGAAACTTATCAATTGTGTACAGTTTGCACATTAGTTGTTTAAAGCTGTTACATTTAATCTGTTTGTTCCTTCTTTGTCTTATGTAGTTAAACTCCTAAATTTACTTTGGATAAAGTTTGATAACGTATTAGGATATGACGTTTACGAAAACCATGTGACACTTTAAATAACGATTTGACTGCATACTAACTAAGTGGTTAATAAAATTACACAAAAGTGTAAAGTATTCAAACTTATTTATTGGGCAGTGTACGAATAACAAAGATGATAAAGACTGAACAACATTATCCAAATGCCCTCAGTATTACAAGTAGGATTGATATCACCCAAAATAGGTCTCATGTGAGGATCAGCTCTATAGTAAAGATTAACATTTTCATAATCCGTGATCAGGTTGTTCACAGTGTATTGCATCAACCTAATCTCATGATCTTAATAAACTTAGTCTTTGCATCATGCTTTCTAAAGACTATAGATTAGTCCTTGGAGCTGGTTATCGTTTTATTTTATATTCTCAGCCAGTGAAATCACAATCTTCATTTAAGTTATGGTTGACAAATTTAGAAGTGAAAATGGTTTACATAAACAAATAGTTCAAGTCAGTGTTTAAAATGTATCGATTAATCGTTGATATCTTGTTTAGAAGCTATTATTTTAGGATTACACTCCAAAGGTTGTACGTATCAATAAACAATAATGATAAATCAGGTGAATGTTCAAAAATGATATATAGTCTCTTTTTGTGTAACAGTTAACTAAGGAATTCGGTTTGGTTTGATATTAGTGTAAAAAAGACATGCTAAGTAGTTCGTGAACATCTAATTAAATGTGTGGTCGTGAATACTCTTGAGATTGAGCTTAGAACCTTAAGGCCATTTGGGAACTACGTTTACGTTTGTACTTCTCTACCTGACTTAAGACTATAATGCTTTTATTTTTACGCAACACATAATATTCTACCGGATTTCCTTTGTTAGGCATTACCGTAGTCACAATTAACTTTAATCAGTATTATATACTGTTCCCTAAAATCCCTACTCTTTTGGTTTCATCCGTTAGTATATTTTTTAAAATACACTGTGATTTTTTAAGCTTTGGTCTCGCCTGTACTAGTTCCCTATAACTCTAATTCTCTGTAATCTAAAAAAGCACACAACTTTTACCAGTGTGCTTGTTCCTAATAACTTTTCTTCCGTCAAGACTCATGTTTATTTGTCCTTTGTAGTGAACTTGCATCTAGGAAAATTTCCATTGAATTAGTGGCCAGCTATCGATCAACGCGCAGTAGCCCAAGTGCATTCATTCTTCATCCTTCCGTAGTTCCTGAACACCGAAATTCCCTTATATATTTTAGTCTTATTTTTGTACGTCTGCTCTTTCCCACTAGTATTTATGCTGTTACCACTTTTACTACTCTGGAATTTATCTTTATAATTTTATCTCACTGCGTTGATATAGTGTGACGATTCGAACCGACACTCAGTTGACAGGTTTTACGTGTAATATGACTGATATGAATGATAAACAAATATGGTAATTCACTGTCTTAATGTTACTCAAATGGATTAATAGTAATGTATAAGTCGCTAAATAAAATGCTTCCGAATCTCAATAGTAACACTAATTTCCTCTAAAAGAAAATCTGGCATAAAGGCCTTTTGTTAATCTTAAAAGTCTTTATTCGTAAAATTTTTTTATCAGTAAGGGGTTGTGAATATTGTTGAATTTGGTTGAAACCATGAAGTGATCATTGTTAGGCCACCATCGCGCGAGACCGGAGGTCTTGGAACTGAGTCCTGTTTGTGGGATCGTGGATGTACGCGACTGAGGAGTCCCATACTGGGGCGAAACCACTGTTCAATGCTTCCAGGGTTTCACTGGTAGCCTAACATTGGTCGGTTCGTGATTTCAATAAGAAATATTTTAATTTTTGGGAGAATAAACCTTAAAATTGGATAAATAATAAACATTTTAGTGTAAATAAGTTACATGCTTCAGTAATTACACTGTTTCTGTGTATCCGATTTTTCTAAAACGCAGTCTAAATTCTTCTCTAACTCTACATCCTAAATTTCTATTTACTAAGACAAAAATGAAAGATTTACAATAATTGAAGGAAATATTACAATTCATTCAACACGAATACTCAACAATTTGTCAAGTTCACCAAATTGTTTTTCTCTGAAAATATTTTATTGTTTAAGCATGTATAGATAAATATTGACAGATTATAGGACGTCATAGTTTAATTTTATTTTCATATTAAATTGATTATATTTAGAGTGAATGTTGTGGATTTTCGGGTCCTCAAATATATGCCTCTTCAAAATGGAAATACAGTCAACCTAATTCTTCAACTTTTATCAGCTTAGTACCTGATTCGTGTCTTACACTTAAAAGTTTAGAAGAACAAGTACTTGAAGATATAAAAACCAAGTCTGATTATGAAGAACCTAGACAAGTGACTTTTCAAAAAGTAAGTTCAATTAAATCTTATAGATAATATATATTTGTGTAAGTATGTTTAAGTTTTGTACAAAAATATAAAATTAATTTATTCACTTCAAAATATGACATCTTTAGCCTCCAACCATCAACTTCTACTGTTTTACAAGCACATTATTTAAAATAGTGACTGGACTTGTACCGCATATTCCTTCATCTTCTTTAGAGCTTCTAGTTTGTTTCTTTAGGTAGGATATTTTTTGAGGTAAGAGACAATACAATCTGCCTAACACTTACTTGCTTACTTACGCTTGTTACTCTCAATGGAGCACAGGCCGCCGACCAGCATTCTCCAACCCACTCTGTACTGGGGCTTCCTTTCTAGTTCGATCCAACTGTAGTTCATTCTTCTCATGTCTGTCTCCATTTCTCGGCGTAATGTGTTCTTTGGTCCTCCTCTCATCCTTTGGCCTTGAGGATTCCATGTGAGGGCTTGCCTTGTGACACATTTAGGTGCTTTCCTCAATGTGTGTCCTATAACCCTTCCAATACTTCCTCCTGATTTCTTCCTCTGCTGAGATCTGGTTCGTTCTCTCCCACAGTAGGTTGTTGCTAATAGTGTCTGGCCGACGGATCCGAAGTATTTTGCGTAGACAATTGTTAATAAACACCTGTATCTTCTGAATGATAGCTTTCTTATTTCTCCAAGTTCCCACTCCGTACAGTAGAACCGTCTTGACATTTGTATTGAAAATTCTGACCTTGGTGTTGGTTGACAGTTGTTTTCATTTCCAGATGTTCTTCAGTTGTGAATATGTTGCTCTTGCTTTGCCGATCTGCTTAACGCTAGACTAGGTTAAATCTTTCGTAGTTTTTTGTCAAGCGTTTTGGATGCCATCAAGCTCACTGATTATTTCATTCACATTCAAAGTTTGACTGTTAGTGTCTCTGATTCATTTAAATGAGAGGTAATAGCGTCGATATGTGGTTCTAGTAGTAAATAAATTATATGCATTGGTTGGTTAAAGAAGACAATTTTGTTGGTCACTAAAGCCAAAGGTGAGTTTAATACATATCATAGTATGTCAGACACCATGCAAACACATTAAAAGCAGTGACAGTTGTCTTTCATTTTATTTGTACATGATTACATTAAATTATTTGGACTCATGTTTGAGTTAAGGAGAGGAGAATTCGCGTAGTACATCGGTAGTGACCTTATCAGAAGTTAGTTTTAACCAGGAACGCGTTGTCGTATGTGGAAAACTACAGATGACAACTCCCATTATCCAACTTTTTAACCAACAGGCTCCGACTGATCGCTAGGGAAATTTCTTTATCCCTAGTTTTCCGTTCTGCACACCACAATACTTGTTAGTCAAGCGTTGCTAAAGCCATTCATTTGGTACAATTCATCATTATTTCGACACGAGTTATGATGTATTGAAGCGTGGATAGATATAATGGAAAAAGTCAATACTTATTTTGGCTAAATTTCCTTTCCTATATCCACCTCATTTATTATTATCCTAGATCCACTCAACCAATCCTGCTTTTGATATGACAAGTAGTAATTATTGTCTTCAGAAAGATCCCTTCACAAGACTATCCATCGGAACCGTATATAAAAACATGTTCATACTCGTTTAATTAAATTTCATCAATATTCCATTTACAAGTTAAAAATATTGCAGAGAATAATGTACTAATAATGTTGATATATTAAATACCATATTAAAAACTTAGACGTCCGATTTGGCTGAACGCTTCAACCAAACGACATAAAAAGTATCGTTAATATTATATATAATCTCAACCATCTAATGCTTTTTCCTTCATTTATGATTGACTTTTAAATCAAAATGACCAGTCATTCATACACCTAGTATCCATGTTTATCACCTTGAAAGTCCCTGTCACCTTCCTAATTACCATAATTTTTGAATATTTTTCTTTCCGATTTCTAAGGGATGCGCAGAATTTCTTTATACTCATATAGAAGGTGTTCTAAGCGGTTCGTTTATCGTACCGGTTATTTCTCTTGTGATTGTAGTAAGTTTGTTATTTTTTACGTTTGTATTTTCCTGTGTATCTGTCATTGTTCTTTCATGTAAATTTAAGATAACTGTTCATATTGTACTCGGTTGAAAGAAATGGTCATTTTTAATAAAGTTCAAGATTTGGGTGGAGTTTCGTTATCTGCACTTGACTCTCTAATCATAGAGCTTTCATTGTTCTTTTGAACAACATCAAGAATGTAGAAAAGTGTGTAGTGAAAAAATATTATTCCCTCTCATTTTGGTTGGAAGTCTTTACTAATATGCACGTAAAGTATCATTAATCAAGATCCAGTCGTCCAATCCTGCTCCGGACATGGCGAAATCAACAAATTTGGAAAGACTGAACAGATATAAGATCAAGAGTCAGGTCAAAGGGGGAGACATTCAAAATAAAAATGCAGAAAATGACAGGTTAAAGGTCAGTAACAACTAATCAAGATCAACAGGACAAGCTGTTAGTTATATATGAGGGAACTTGATGTCTCACTTTCACCTGGTGTTTTTGCTGATGATGTTCAGAAGAACAATGGAAACTCCGCGATTAAACTGTTGGGATACTCAGAAAAATATCCCAAAAACAATTATCCGGTTAAGTCTAACGCTACCCTTGAACGTTAAATGGTGTCATTTCCCTATTGGTCGTTTCCCTACTGATCAATATTTATTTCGCGTGTCATTTTCCTATTGGTCAACATTATTTAACGTGTCATCTTTCTGTTGGTCAATATTTATAGTAATCCTAACTGTATAAATATGCATTTGTTTGTAAATCATTATTCTGCTGCTCCTGACCCCATAAACGATTTTTCATCTACGGTTCGTGTTCTGATATATTGGAGATTGGGAACAGTATTGGGGTCGAACTCGGATATCTGAAGCTTGTCAATCGGTAGAATTTAGAGTAGCCAACTCGCGATTCACAATAAATTGGCGACGGAGATTTAGCAACAAGTTGGTGAATAACTATGGATCCAGCCAAATTAGAAAAATTGTTCGAACAGCAGCTGAAGCTGATGGAGATGATTACTCAGACGCACATATCTTCTCGAGTCCCAACTACACCGACGATTCCTGAATCAGTTGATGGTATTACCAATGGTATTTCAGAATTTCTTTATGATCCTGATGCCAACATTACATTTGATACCTGGTTCAGACGTTATGAAGACCTTTTCAAAGTTGACTTTGCTGACAAAGATGATTCGTGGAAGGTGCGTCTTCTTCTTCGTAAACTTGGTCCATCCGAGCTGGATAAGTATTGCAACTTCATTCTACCGCAGAACCCACGCGACCGTTCATTCGACGCCACTATTCAGTCCCTTAGCCAACTTTTTGGTGATCATCAATCACTCTTCAGTACCCGATATCGCTGCTTAAAATTGGTCATGAATGAGTCCGATGACTTCCTGACCCACGTCGGCGTTGTTAACCGTGAGTGCGAACGGTTCAAGCTCAGATCCCTCACTGAAGACCAATTCAAGTCCCTAATACTCATATGCAGTCTTCAGTCACCCAAATTCTCCGACATCAGAACTCGGTTGCTTAACCGCCTTGAACAAGATCCAACACTGACACTTAATGCGATCATAGACGAATACCAGCGTATCATCAATCTGCAGCGTGACACCACTTTGGTCCAATCTGGGGGCCAGGGTGGTTCCGAAGTTCATGCTGTTCAGCACCAGAAAAAATCTTCGAGATCGACAAACTCGAGTCCTTCGAACGCCAGCGCTGTTTCTATCTCTAATCACTCTAAACCGGCTCAGAAGAAGCCCCCCTCGCCATGTTGGCACTGTGGAGCCTGGCATTACGTGAAGTTCTGTCCATTCAAACAGCATGTGTGCGATCGCTGTCAGAAAGTTGGTCACAAAAGCGGCTTTTGCAAATCCAACCGATCCATTAACCGTCGAAATGCACAGACGCAGCGTCGTTTTCACAAAAAGCCGATTACCTCATCAAGGAGTTTAGCAGCAGTATTCCATACTCATGCCGCGACTCTACGCAAATTTCTGACCCTCTCAATCAATGGTCAGCCAGTTCGTTTGCAGTTGGACACTGCATCAGATATCACCATTTTGTCGAAAAAGACTTGGCGAACCTTGGGTCAACCTCCCATCAAACCATCCTCTCAGACAGCCGTCAGTGCCTGTGGGGGTCATCTCCGCCTTCATGGTGAACTCTATTGCTGCATTTCATTCAGAGGTACAACCTTCAATGGGACATGCTACATCACCAATTCCCCGCTCAACCTTTTAGGTTTAGATTGGTTCGAAGAACTTGGTCTCGCTGATCTTCCTATTAGCGCTATCTGCAATCAAGTCCAAACTACTGCTTCTACACAACAGCATGCTGAAGACCTTCGAAAACGATTTATTGAACTATTTAAGCCTGGTCTCGGACTTTGTACCACAACTGAAGCTGTTTTAAAACTGCAGTCAGAAGCTACGCCAGTTTTTCGCCCAAAGCGTCCAGTCCCATACGCATCTTTACCTCTGGTTGACGCTGAACTTCAACGTTTGGAAACTGAGGGTGTCCTAGTACCTGTTTCTTATTCATCATGGGCTGCTCCAATTGTGGTTGTAAAAAAATCCAATGGTTCCATACGCATCTGTGCAGACTTTTCCACAGGACTCAACGCAGCTCTACAGCAGCATCACTATCCGCTGCCGATCCCAGATGACTTATTTACTATTTTAAATGGTGGTACCTATTTTGCTAAGCTGGATCTGGCAGATGCTTACCTTCAAATTCCAGTCGCTCTAGAATCCAGAGAGTTGTTGACAATCAACACTCACCGAGGACTTTTTCAATATACCCGGTTACCCTTTGGTATCAAAACTGCTCCAGCGATCTTCCAGCAGATCATGGACACTATTCTGGCAGATGTTCCTGGTGTTGCTACATACCTTGACGATGTCCTCATTGTCGGCTCAACTGCTGATGAATTGAATACCAGAACCCACTTAGTTCTGCAACGCCTCCAGGATAATGGTTTTCGCCTTCGCCCAGAAAAATGCCAATTCTTCTTACGTTTCGTTAAGTACCTGGGATTTATCTTTGATGCTTCCGGACGACACCCTGATCCTCAAAATACTTACGCAATCCAACAAATGCCTGCTCCCACTGATGTCTCCTCACTCCGATCATTTTTGGGAATGATTAGCTACTATTCAGCATTTCTTCCATCACTGCATGACGTACGATATCCATTAAATCGTCTGTTAGAAAAGAATGCTACTTGGAATTGGTCAACGCAATGTGAGTCAGCCTTTTCAAAACTTAAAGCTATGCTAAGTTCCAATCTTCTGCTAACCCACTACAATCCGAAACTACCCATTGTGGTTGCTGCTGACGCTTCAACGCATGGACTGGGTGCCGTACTCTCACATGTCTTTCCCGACGGGTCAGAGAAAGCGGTGATGCACGCTTCGAGAACACTAACACCTGCTGAGAAACGCTACGGCCAGATAGAGAAGGAAGCGTTAGCCCTAATTTTTGCTGTCCGGCGATTCCACAAATTCATTTACGGGCGCCGTTTCACCTTGCTCACAGACCACAAGCCGTTGTTATCAATCTTTGGATCAAAGAAAGGCATTCCTGCCCATTCTGCTAATCGTCTTCAACGTTGGGCGTTGGCGTTATTGGGGTACGACTTCGACATCCAGTATCGACGTTCCGAAGATTTTGGTCAAGCAGATGCACTGTCCAGACTTATCAGTAACCATTCTACCACTGATGAGGACACACTCATAGCCATAGTATCAACCGAAGAGGATTCCGGTGCTACACTATTAGCGAATGCCGTTCGAGCAATGCCTGTTACCGCTGAAGATGTTCGGGAAGCTACCAGAGAAGACCCGATTATCCAAGAAGCGATCACCTATGTTCAGAGCAGATGGCCAGTTAAGCAGCTGAGTGGTGATATGCAACAACTAGCGAATCGTCGCAGCGCTCTCTGTATTGTTAACGATTGTCTGATGTTCGGTGATCGCGTAGTAATTCCAACAACCCTACGTTCCAAAGTCCTACGCCAATTCCATTCTGGACACCCAGGGATAAACCGTATGAAATCCATCGCTCGCAGCCATGCATATTGGCCGAATATGGACAAGCAGATTGTCGACTTCGTCAAAAGATGTTCACACTGTCAAAAAGCTGCGAAAAATCCTCCTAAGTTGCCTCCAGTACCCTGGCCAAAGTCAGAAAAAGCCTGGTCGCGAGTGCATATTGACTTCACCGGACCCCTAGATGGTACCACATACCTGATACTGGTTGACTCCTACTCCAAATGGCCGGAGATATTGCCGATTGCGCCACCCTCTACAACTCAAACCATCAAACTCCTTAATCAGATCTTCGCTCGGCATGGTCTTCCAGAAACAATAGTAACAGACAATGGTTCACAATTCACATCTAGCCAATTCCGAGAATTTTGCCTGCAAAATTCGATCAACCATGTTCGCTCTCCGCCATATCACCCGCAATCTAATGGACAAGCTGAAAGGTTCGTTGATACATTTAAACGAGCCATGCTTAAAGCACGAGGGGAGGGGACCACAGAAGATATCATAGAACGTTTCCTAGTTGCGTACCGGACGACCCCGCATGACTTATTGCCAAACTCCAAATCCCCTGCTGAGATGCTTATGGGGCGAAAGCTACGGACAGTTCATGTGCGATGAAACCCAAGCAAGTGGCCCAGCAAAGCCCCCAGATGAAGAATACTCGAATTCCCTACGAAGTTGGTACAAAAGTGTATGCGCGAGATTATAGACACGGATGCGATAGATGGGTAGAGGGTGAAATCACACAAAAACATGGGAACGTCATGTATGATGTCAAGGTGAACCAAGAAATCTGGACCAGGCACCACAATCAACTCAGGTCAAGGGAAGCGAAGGAGAAAGAAGCAATTACAAAACACGTCCCACTCGACTTGCTGTTGGACACTTTTCAACTTCCGCCAATACCTCTAACAGAGACGACTAAGTC